TGTGTGTATACATAGACATATATATGTTAATGTCTGTCTTAAATAATTTTAAAAGCTTCTTCTAAGCAATACTGTTTGTCTGACTGTGCCCACCAACTCTGAAGGTATCTAGCAAAGTCATAGCTAGCTACATCTTTCTCAAGTCATAACGAGAATAAAAAAAAAATAGCCCTTGAGGGTAAAACTGTGTCTCTGATGAAGTCAGAGAAAAGTCAGTGATACTAAGAATATATACGATGTTGTGCAACTATCACCCCTCTCCATTTCCAGAACCTTTTATCATCCTAAACAAAAATCCTTGTACTCATTAAACAATAACTTCTCTTCCCCCAGCCCCCAGTAATCTCTATTACACATTCTATTCCTATGAATTTGATTACTCTAGTTACCTCATCTAAGTAGAATTATATAGTATTTGTGTTTTTGTGACTGGCTTATTTCACTTGTCGTAATGCCTTCAGTTATCCATGTTGTAGCATGTATCAGCATTTTTTTCCTTTCTAAAGCTAAACAAGAGTCCATTGTATGTGTATCCATGCTTATTCTGATATTTCAGTACAATGATGGCATTCTTTAACTTTCAGGAGAGTGCATAAAAGTTGTATGGGTAAATCCATATATATATTTCTAGCACTAAATTTTATGTTAAAGAGAAGTTGCAATAAGGATGTTAAGAAAGCATTAGTACTAATGGGATGAGTGTGACTTCTTTTTTTGCTGTGGAAAGCACAAATATTAAGTTTTAAGGACATATAATCATAGAATCCCACTGAATTGACCTGCTCTAACCCCACATTTCCTCATTTCCATCTTTGCCTGAATACTGAGCTGGAGCCAGTGTCTTCTTCCAGCCCTGCTTCTTCAGCCAGAGGCCCCACTCTGATTGCCTAGGGACACAGATGACAGGCAAAGGAGGTGGCTCTGGGAAGGAAGGGACCTCTGCAAGTTCATTCTGATGCATGGTGTCTGCTGCTGCTGGTGCCTCCATCCCATTTCTCCCTTTCCTTTTTTGATTCCATTCATGTATTATCTCTAGGTTTTGGGGGAAATGAGTGATTCAGATTAGTTATTGGGTCTTCCTGCACCCTTTCAAGTGATCATTGGGTATTTAAAGAAAGAGCATTGGATGTTATTCTCAAATATTTAAAGTGTGTGTGTGTGTGGAGTGGACAAGGAAAAGGCATTCAGAGGATAAGCAACAAATCCAGTGTAGTTTGCATGGCCTTTGTGTACTTACTGTTTACCTTACATTTGCAACGGGGATTTCCAGAAGAGTGTTTTGGTTCTTTTTGGGGATGATCTGAGCATTTTCATTGCTATAAGCGAAATGCATTTTAAGAATGAGGAGCCATCCCAGGGGAAAGCAGAGTTGGCCCTGGAGCCAGGCCTCCACTGCTGTTGCCTCTGCACAGAACGTCTCGGCTGACCCCTTTGTTATAGGTGAGCATTTTAACCACTTCGGGGCGTGCGTGTGGTCCATGCTTGCCACCACTCTGCTGATATCTTTCCTGGAATCCTGTCCTTGTTTCCACAGTGCTTTAGAAATCTGTTCACTGTTGTGGTTCACCACGTTGAGAAACAGACTTAGTACTGTAATACAACAGGAAAGGAGGTCATTAGGATTATGGAACATGAGTGGCAAATACTATTTGTAATTACCTCTTACTCACTCATTGTATTCTTTTTCAAATTGCATTTGTAATACAACCAGTTTGCTTATTTGCTTGGCTCCCTGAGAGTTTTCTTCAACTTTACTTTCTAATGCTTTCATTGAATTTTTCAATTTTTGCTATCATGCCATTATTTTTTTTAAATTTTTATTTATTTTTAGAGGGACAAAAAGGGAGGGAGAAAGAGAGGGAGAGGAACATCAATGTATGAGAGAAACATCAATCAGTTGCCTCCTGCACACCCCCAACTGGGGACTTGGCCCCATAACCCAGTCATGTGCCCTGACAGGGAATGGAACCAATGACTTTGGTTTGTGGGGCAATGCCCAACCCACTGAGCCACACCAGTTAGGGCATGTCACTAATTTTAGAGCTCTTTTTTATTTGCTGAGTGTCCCGTTTTATGTAGTTTCCTGTTTGTTCTACTCATAGCTATGGGGAAAACCATCCCAAACATAGTGATATAAAACCTTTCATTTAATTTTTTCCTCACACATTCTGTGGTTTAGGAATTCAGATAATACTTGAATAACTAGGGGCTGTAGTCGCCTGACGCCTTCTTCACTCACATGTCTGGCACTGGCTGGGATGGATTGAAGACTGCGTTCACTGGGGCTGTCGCTGTGGGTACGCAGGCATGGCTTCTGCACGCGGTTTCTTACAACATGGAAGTTGGTTCTTAAAGCAAGCTTCTGCAGAGCCGATAGTACAAGGCAACTAAGAAGAAGCAACATGGTTTTACATGATCTACCTTTGGTAGCCACGTAGTATCACTCTTGTCAAACTGTACTGCTCACTATAATCGTAAGGTTGTCCAAATTCAAGAGGAAGGGAATTCTGACTATTTCTTGATTGGGGAGTAGCGAGGTTACACTGTAGAAGAACATAAAGGATGGGAGTATTGATTTTTGTTTTCAGACAATATAATCTGCCTCACTTATTGACTGAATGCATTATCTTTTCTTATCTCTCTAAGGATATGATTAGTTTTCTTTTTCCCCATGCACAATCTGTTTCCTTTCTTTATCTGTCAGAATTTCTAATGTAAGCAACATATTTAAGTCTTGACCTGGTTGAATTCCATGGTAAATAAACTCCAGCCTTGGCTAAGTTCCGGGGGGCTGAGAGCTGGAAAGAGGGAATGAGATCTGGATAGTCATTGTCCCTGGGTTCGCTGAGTTCCGCTGTCTCCTGCTGGGCACCCTGCTCTCCGTCATGCCTGCTGTGCCCCAGCCTGGAGAATCTCTGCAGTAACTAGTTTGGGGTCTCTGTCAGTTTTTGTGATGGTCACCCAATTGCTTTGAAAACAGCTGCCAAACAGTATTCCTTTTTGCTTTCCTTTTCTTTCCCTTTTTTTTTACTATTCTTACATTTCTCCTTCTTCCTGCACCACGCCCGCCCCCCCCCCCGCCCCCCGCCCCGGCTTCTTCTTCTTTTTTATAATGATCTCCACTGGTATCTGTGCCACCATCTTCCTGAACCTTTTGAAGATCCTATAGTATAAATAGAGCTGGTCCTTTCTTTCCTTACTGTCAGCCTGGGATTCTCAGGTCTGCTTTTCAGATTTTACTTGCTGCCTCCTCTCCCGGTCTTTCTGAGGTCATTTTGTCTGTCCTCCCACTCCAGTAAGTACTGAACTGCACCCTTATCCTGACAGGCTGGAGTTGTCCGCTTTGTGCTGGAGCACTTCTCGTGACCGTATTGTTACCTCAGGTGCGTTTGTTACTTTTCTTCTCGTCCCCTTCCCGGACCAGCTTTCCTATTGCTGGCATTACTAAAAGAGCAGTTTCCTTACAGTGTTTATAGAACATTGTATTTTTGTGCTTCTTGGTTTTAATTTCAAAAAGCCATGTGTTAAGAACCCTTGCCTTTAGGTACTGGTTTTCTTCTTTCCTTTATATAGTGGACTTATTTTCTTTTCAGGCTGTTTTTTCCTACTTAAAAAATATCCATGGTGGGATTTTGTGAAGTCTTCTCTTTCAGGAGAGGCACCTGTGTTCTAGTGAGGGACCTTCTCCAGGACACTGGCTAAGACAGCCACCAAGTCCTGAGGTAGGCTGTTGGGCAAGAAAGGCCTGGGGTGTGTTTGGTGTTTGCATTTTTCTTACTCTTTAGAATTCATAAGCTTTTGTTATTTAGAGTGGTTCTTATTCTTCAGTCTTTGGCCTCGCTGACTCTTCCCACCCCAGGTTCTTAAAGGGATCTGCGTCCTTGTATGAAATCTGAAAGTGAAGGACATTGAGCCCAGCAGCATTAAGCTCTGCACATTTTGTTATTCATTTTTTAATATTTTAAATATTGAATTATTTTAAATATTCTTTGCTGAATGAAATTCCATTAAAATAATACAGCATGTGCACATTTTGCCTCCCTTTTCCTCATAGAAATCCCTTTCTCTGTGAAATCTTATTTTCCCTTCAGCTTTCTCCTAACTCTTAGCTGACTTTTAGTTAGGAGAATGTTCCATGTCTCGAAGTTAGGCTAATTAATTAAGATTTCTTTTAATGACTTATCCACCGCACTGATAAATATACAAAGTTGAAAGCATTATTAATAAGATAGACTAGTTATTTCACACACCTACTTTGTAAACACCCAGTTCAAACATAAGACTAGTGATTTTATATTTTAAAAAAACATTTCAAAGCATGATGGAGGTTGAGAATATAGATAAGAATGGTAAAGACCTATGGCTTTTTTGAAGTGAGACAAATTTTTGATTAGGAACTTTGTATATTCTGTATAAATTTGGGAGTAACTTCTTAGGTACTCACATTTTCTTCAACGTTGTAGAAATTTAATTAGACATAATTAATCTATTACAGTGGAGGAGCTGGGCAAAGTAAAAGTAGTTGTTTGAACTCTTCATTTGCCCTGATCTAGCAGCTCTCATTTCTCTCTCTTTTAAATTGTTTATGTATTTTACTTTGAGAGTATATTTATTAAAGGTGACAACCGTGAAACATGGAAGGGCCTAGGATAGAAGAAGCAACAGAAAAGGGGGCCTTGGGGACAGCTTCAGAGGGTGAACCCCCCTCGTCACTGCTGCCCAGGCCCCGCTGGTGGCAAATCTCACAGGGTCCCTAGCAGTTTAGAAGGTGCACTCCTGGCAGGGGAAGGAGAGAGGGGAGAGAAAGGGGAGGGCGTACTCCTGGCGGGCAGAGTGCCTCATCTCTCTTAAAATTCCCCAAGTGCTCCTTTTCAAATCCCATTTCTTGATTGATCACTTTAAAAATAAAAAGCCAGGGGCCTGAGTCTACTTTTTAAGAAGCTCAGTCACATTCATGGGAAATTTATTTAGTGCACACTTCTTTTCTCATTTCCACTCAGGTAAATGAGATGGCTGTGCTGGTTGGGCTGACGTAGGCCTCCTATTTCTGAACCCCACTTCCCTCAAATTGGAGGACGTGTAATCACAAGAACCCATCCCCCAAGGTGGGGAGTAGAAACATGAGTAAGTGACCTCTACTCAACCACCTCCCCCACCATCCTACACATATGAAGTCTGACTTACTATAGAAAATTGCAGCCCTCCAACATGCAGGGTATTTGTGAAACTTCATTGCAAAATTTTGATGAAAATTAATGTGGACATGCCTAAATTGTCATATCGCTTTCAATAAAACAATCCAGCTGATAAGTATAAATATAGCCTTAATTTTTGTAGAAGATAGAAACCACTGACCAGCACAAGTTCTCAAAAAGGATTCTTGCACAGGACTCTGGAGAGTCTCCCACCCCCACTCCACCGGGAGGGTCCGTGAAATATCACAGGAGGAACGCTGGACTGATAATCAGGAATGAGGTTCTGGCCTCAGTTTTTTAAGCTTCAGTGTCCTCATCTGTCACAGGCTACTACAGATACCTGTTGTGACCTTGCACATTATTTTTCCTTCCGGTTCTTCCTATCTGCTTCTGCTTTTTGGCTGAGACACTGCACTACCTAAAGACACAACTTATACCTTGAAGGTGCCTGGTGTGTTTCTAATCCTATTTCCAGACAGAGGAAGGACAGGAATGCAATGACGGTAGACAGGCAGTTTAAGAGGCGAGAAGCCTAGCTCTTCCAGCCCCGCCCAGGCATCAGCGCCTGTGGAGGAAGGGGCCTTTCCTGGAGCTGAGGGCTGTCAATCAGGCCTGCTGCCTGTGTTTCAACAATTTAACTATGAAGTATCTAGACGTGAATTTCTTTGAATTTATCATCCTTGTAAGCCATTGGGCTTTTCGAATGTGTGATTAATTTTTTTTATTTTAATTGTTTTTTTAGAGAAGCTTTAAGTTTACAGAAAAATTGCACAGAAATTACAGGGTTCCCATATATCCCATTGCACATTTGATGAAACAATATTGATACATTATCATTAATTAATTATAGTTAAGAGGGGTCACTCTTTATGTCGTACAGCTCTGTGGATGTTGACAAATATAAAACATCATGTAGCTACCATTATAGCATCATATAGAATAGCTTCTGTCCTAAAAACCCCGTTTTCTACCTGTTCATTTGTTCTTCCTTTCCCCAAACCTCTGGCATACATTGATCTTTTTCTTATCTCTGCAGTTTTTCCTTTTCCAGAATATCATATAGTTGGAATCATAGTATGTAGCTTTTTCAGATTAAGTTTACTCCGTGTCAAAAAGACTTGGTTTGGTAGTCCATTTCTTTTTATCATTGAATAATATTCCAGGCTATGAATATTCCACATATTCCACATGAATATGTGGAATATACCACATGAATATACCACGGTTTGTTTTTCCATTCACATATTGAAGGGCATCTTGATTTCTCCCAATTTTTTGCAATTATGAATAAGCTTTCATAAACATTCATATGCAGGTTTTTGTGTGGACATATGTTTTCAATTTGGGTAAACACCTAGGAGTGTGATTGCTAGGTTGAATGGTTAGCATATGTTTAGCTTTGTAAGAAACCGCCAAACTGCCTGCCAAAGTGATAATACCATTTTCCATACCTGGAGATTATTGAAACTTTGGATGTGCAGGTTAATTTTTTTAAATTAAAGTTGAAAAGTTTTCAGCCTTTAAAACTTAAATACTTTTTTCAGCCCTTAAGTACTTTTCTACCCCACCCTGCTCATGCCTGAGCTCTCTCCACCTTCCATCTCTCCCCAACTCCTGCCTCCCCCAACCCTCTCTGCTACTCCCATTATGCATTTATTGATATGCTTAACCCTGTGGAAGTTGCAGCTGATCTGAGAGATATAAACAAACCCTTCTCTTAAATATTGTTTCATAGATCAGGTGCATAAGTTCAAGGTCATGACTAGTTTGAATGTTGTGGCATAACCCATGCCCTTGATATATGTAACAACATTTAAGAAAAGAGTTTGTTTGTTTCTCTCAGATGAGCAGCGACTTTCGCCTGGTTAATGGTATCTCACAGGTCTTTGAGGCTTTGTTCATTTTTCTGAATTCTTTTTCCTTTTCTTCTCACTGAATACTTTGACTTGACCCGTCATCAGTTCCACTGATGTTTTTCTTTTGTTAGTTCAAACTCACTGTTGAGCCCCTCTAGTCACTTTTTCGCTTCAGTTATTGTACTTTCCATTCCAGGTTCCTATTGTTCTTTTTCATAATTTCTATCTCTTTATTGAAATTCGCATTTGGCTTAATATTATTTTCATACTTTCTTTTAGTTTTTTAGTTCTTTGAACGTATTTATAATAGTGACAGTCTTTCGTCTGTCCAGGGCCTGGGCTTCCTCAGGGACAGTTTTTATTGACTGCTTTTTTTCCCTGTGTATGGGCCAGAGTTTCGTATTTCTTTTTGTGCCTTGTAATTTTGTTGTTGTTGTTGTTGGAAGTAGACATTTTATAACATGTCCACCCTGAAAATCATACCTCTACCCCTGCTCTACCCAGGGCTTAGTGTTGTTGCTATCTGTTTGCTTATTGACTTTCCTGAATTCATTTTCTAAGCTTTATATTCTTTGCTGTGTGAGGGCACTTAAGTCTTGTTCCATTAATGACTGGATAGATTTCTTCAAATTTCTTGAACCAATAAGGAGCAAAAATTTCTTAAAGGCATAATTTTCTTTAGGAATATGATGTTTTAATGGTTGAGATGGTTACGTATTTTACCAAAATTTCCCAGTGTTGGCTTTCTGGGGTGGTGGACAAGAAAGCGGGAAGAAGATGAGATAAGCTGCTAGGTCAATTGCAGGATTGTGTTTAGTGAGCCACTGAGCACTGGACATCTTCGCAGGGAAGTTAGGATAAACTAGACTTTCCATTCATACTGGACCATTAAACTAGTCCTTGGCACACACTGTGGGACATGCTACTAAAGTTTTCTTTGAAAAAGGTTGAATTGAATTGCAGGGTGTCTTCAAACATTTAACAATCCATAAACATAGCATTAGAAAAATAAGTAAGACCGCAGAAAAGGCAATGTTAAATGAGAGAAATTAATCAGCCACAATTTTGAGGAAAAAAGTGAATATGTAGGATTAGTTCATCAGCATGCTTTCTGAATGTGTGTATATATTTACATGTGCATTATATCTCTTCACACTTTTCCCTTTTCATTTCACAGATTTTTTTTAAAAGCCTCATGGGACATAACACTGTTGCCCGATGCCTGGTAAAATTAAGAAACCTGACTGCATGAGAGGCGCTCTGCAGGGCGCAGGATGGTACCTGGAATCAAGTAACTGAATGAGCCAGACTTTCCTTAACTTTAAATGGTAAGAAAAGGCACTTTTTATAACATTATACTAATAATTGTCAATTATGCACTTTTATTTGTATTATTAATAGTCACGATTTATTTCCTAATTAAATCTTTAAAAGTTCTAGTGCTAATTCTGGTGTTAAAAATAAATTTGAAATCTCTATAAATCTGGTATGGAGACAATTGATGGTATTTGGCTTTCTTTTTTACAACAGTTGCACTTGTAGAATGAATTGCCAGGTTAGAAAATTGACTTTTGAAAATAAAAACAATACCTAACTATTTGTAAACATTTTATGTAATAAAAGTGAGTTGGGTTCCTGGAATTTGAATAGAGATATAAATTCTATCATAAATTACAATTTATACACAACAGTTGTTTTTTCCCACAAGTATTAATTATTATAACCTGCTATAACCAATGCAGGAAATGCAAGGCTATGTGTTTCTTTTCTTCCTGTGATGTCTGGTATGGAACTGAACTATGTGAGGTCAACCCAAAAGAGTCCCAAATTTGGCCTAGTTTTAGCTGAGCCTTTCAGCTTCAGCTTGAGAATTCCATTGACTGGCTTTTCCGTCAAAGATTCTTAGAGCCATGGCTGGGTGGCACAGTTGGTTGGAGTGTCATCCCATACACTGAAAGGTCATAGATTCGATTCCTGGTCAGAGCACATACCTTGGTTGCAGGTTTGATCCTCAGCTGGGGCGTGTATGGTGGGCAACTGATCCATGTTTCTCTCTCACATTGATGTTTCTTTCTCTCCTTCTCCCTTCCTCTTTCTCTAAAATCTATAAATATATCCTCAGGTGAGGATTTTAAAAAATTAATAAATAAAGATTCTTGGAAGTTACGGCCATTTCTGAACGTCTCTGTAAGTGCACCCCCACTCTTAAATTGGTGAAGAGCCAAATAAATCTGATCTCTTCAAATACTTGGGACTGTTGATGTCAACTGATGGGCATTTGTGGATCTGTCAGGAAGAACCCAGATTAGTAATGATTTCCAGGTAAAGGGTGTTAATTAGAACTGGCACAGTATCAAAAACCCACCAACTATAGAGAGTTCACTAATCCTAGCCTAGGTCTTCACCTGTGTTTTTACACCTCAATATACCTGAGAGGTAAAAGGTTTATTGTGGGATATCTTAGCACATCCTTATACTTGAGTTTTGGTTTGTTTTTTTTTAAACAATTTGGCATTAATGCTAGAGACTGGGATTCTGTAACACTGCCCCTTTTCCTCTGATTGACTTACTTTTGTTTTTCTTTTAAAAATCTGACCTCATAGCAACGAGGACAGTTTTGAGCCTGAGAAGATGTCATGGAAACTGTATTTACAGATATCCTTTCTGTTTTTCTTTTAGTGCTCTTCTCCACTTAAAGATGCCTTTGCTCTTCTGCTAAATGCAAACCGACAACTCACAAGACAGAAGCAAAATCATTACTGCTGGAGAAAACTGCCCTTAAAAAAGGAAAGTCCCTGATTGTTGTTTGAAATGCTGAAGAAGTTGCTGAGGAGGAGACTTTTTTCTTATCCCACTAAATACTACTTCTTGTTCCTTGTTTTTTCTTTAGTTACTTTCTCTGTTTTAAGAATTTATCAAAAGCCCGAATTTGTAAGCATTGAACATTTGGATGTGGCCGGAGACAATCCTAGTAGTGACATTAATTGCAGCAAAGTTTTACAGGGTGATGTAGATGAAATTGAAAAGGTAAAGCTTGAGATTCTAACAGTGGAATTTAGAAAGCGCCCTCAGTGGACAAATGATGACTATATAAACATGACTAGAGATTGTACTTCCTTCATCAAGAGGCGCAAATATATTGTAGAACCTCTTAGTAAAGAAGAAGCAGAGTTTCCAATAGCGTATTCCATAGTGGTTCATCACAAAATTGAAATGCTTGACAGGCTCCTGAGGGCCATCTATATGCCTCAGAATTTCTACTGCATTCATGTGGACAGAAAATCGGAGGATTCCTTTCTGGCGGCAGTGACTGGTATTGCATCCTGTTTCAGTAATGTCTTTGTGGCCAGTCAGCTGGAGACTGTGGTGTATGCATCATGGAGTCGGGTTCAGGCCGACCTCAACTGTATGCAGGACCTCTACAGAATGAATGCAGATTGGAAGTACTTGATAAATCTCTGTGGTATGGATTTTCCTATTAAAACCAACCTGGAAATTGTCAGGAAACTCAAGTCATTAATGGGAGAAAACAACCTGGAAACAGAGAAAATGCCATCCCATAAAAAAGAAAGGTGGAAAAAACATTATGCAATCTTTGATGGAAAACTCACAAATACGGGGACTGACAAAATGCCCCCTCCTCTTGAAACACCTCTGTTTTCAGGCAGTGCCTATTTTGTGGTCAGTAGGAAGTATGTGGAGTATGTGCTAGAGAATGAAAAAATCCAGAAGTTTATGGAGTGGGCAAAAGACACATACAGCCCGGACGAGTATCTCTGGGCCACTATTCAGAGGATCCCTGAAGTTCCAGGCTCATTGTCCTTAAGCCACAAGTATGACATGTCTGACATGCAGGCAATTGCTAGGTTTGTCAAGTGGCAGTACTTTGAAGGTGACATTTCCAAGGGGGCCCCCTATCCACCCTGCAACGGTGTCCACGTGCGCTCCGTGTGTGTTTTCGGAGCAGGTGACTTGAACTGGATACTGCGCAACCACCACTTATTTGCCAATAAGTTTGACGTGGACATTGACTTCTTTGCCATCCAGTGTTTAGATGAACATCTAAGGCAGAAAGCCCTGGAGACGTTAAAACACTGACCGTTCATTGTAGGCAATTTTAGAAATAGTAAGAATGTTGCCTGAGATGTATCCTATCCGATTCTTCTGCCCTGTTAATAAACATCAGAAACTCTGTAGGGGGTGCTGATTGGAGCGGGGACTCCAGCTCTTCATATCAGAGAAGTTACATGGTCTCTGTGGAGCACAGTGGGTGGAAGGGTTAGAAGGCACTAAGTGCTGACTTAGAGTTAATGTGAGGGCAGGGCAGGTATGAAGCTTTGTGGGGAGAGGTGGCCCCAGAGGCTGAGGAAGAGGCCAAATGCAAAAACCAGCCTATGAAAGAGCTCAGGGACTTCATAAAATGATCAGATTAAACCTGTGCCAAAATTACTTAGCGAGCTTTAAATATGACAGTTTTCTTGATTTGAATACATTTATAGCAACAACCAATCATAAGGATATAATTTATATTGTAGGTTATATTGTTGAATTAGAAATTTGACTTTACCGTAAATGATTCTTGTGAATATTATTTACTTTCTGCTGTAACATTGTGCTGTGTATTGTATCTGTTTGTCATCTCAGGGAACTTGAAAAAATGGGCTTGACTGAGTGTATATATTTCTGAGTAATTTTTGTTTCTACCAATGTATATATGTTTTTAAAAACAAAAAAAAATGGCAATTTCTAGTTTAGTTGATTCTGTGAATCATCTTAGATTATTAGAAATACCTTAGGTTATTAAAAGAGTTAAGATATCTTTGTTTATTACTAAAGTGTCTACGGAGTAACACTCAATGTTACAAATATTTGTCTCTCTACTCCTCCTGCCATCTCCCCAGACCCTGCCATCAAGCTGTATAAAAAACTTGTTTTATAGTAGTACCCTGCCTCAGTTCTATTATATGATCTGATTGACGGTAATTAGTGTAGAGGACTAACGGAGAAAGGGCGATGTGTGGGTTTGGAATGGGGAGGAGAAGGAGTTATATTTAGACACTGTCTGGGGGCTATGACGAGTGTGAAAAATCAGCAGTTGCCGCCATCCGCAGAAATTAAGGCGGTGCTCTTTGCTTGTGTCCAGCCTCCCAGTGTCCTTCATCCTAGTGTGACCTGTGTCCATTTCAAAGGAACTGGCTTCCACTGACCTTTCTTCATATTACCTGCCCATTGGTTGCTTCTTAGCCCTTGGGTTGTAAGTTTCCTTCTCTCTCAGAACGTAATGAAGAAGGAAGAGGTGTTTTGTTGTTCTCCACGCTGTGCTTGAAAGCCTGAGAATCTGAAAGGGACCATTAGGTCTGGGGCAGATGATTTCAGTATTGCTATTATTCACAGCACATGATTTTTACTGTAGTTTTGCACCAGAAGACAGATGATTTGAGGTTGCTATTCAGCTTGCTCTTTTGCTAAGCTGATACTTAACTGTTCAGCCAAAGCTCTAACAGGAAATGTGAAACTTTATCATTTAGCTGAGGCTTTAAACAAGAATCAAAACCATGTACTTTATTTTTAAAGCACAACCAACTTAAACAGTACACGAGAAATTCGTAATATCAGACAGTTTTCAGACCTTCAACTGGGAAAACATTTGTATTCCTCAAAGTTAGAAAACATTTTTATTTTATGGAAAAGTTTGTTATACTGACCCCACAGAACGAAAGTTTCATGGGTTTTTTAAAAACATTTGCCATCTGTAAACGTATGAGTCAGTGGATTGCTGTGTTTTGCATGATTTGATGTGGCAGCTTTGGAAACTCAAGTCATGACATCAATGAGGGCATTACATGCGGTGTTCCATCCCTGGTCCCTTCCAATCCAGTTTGTTCTTTAAATGCATATCAAATCTTTCTTCCTTTCCCTAGTGGCAGAAAGATTTTCCCTTTTAAGATATGGTTGTTTGCTTTTTACTGTAAAACTGGTGATACTCAGTACCACATAATTTGTGCCTGTGTCTTGTATTTTTACTTCATTCATGATGTCTTGTTTTGTGAACTTTTTTTTTTTCATTTCTATTTCAAAAATTTGCAAATTAATAGGAGAGTAAAAAGCAGTAGTACAGGAAATACCATATGACCCTTGCCTGGAGTCCTGGTTTTTAACATCATGCCCCTTTTCCTTTAAATATTAACAATTTTTTTTTAATTTAGCCAAATATAAAGTTTTTTAAATTTACAAATATCCAAAGTTTTCATTTTTCTCAACACTCTTATGTAGTGTGAGTGTATCTGATTTGCATGGCAGGTCTTGAGGGATTTTTTTCTCCACCCCAGACATAAAAATAGGACTTTGGAGTTCATTTCCCCAACCCTACACCAAAACTGTGGACCCACCATCTTTTATGTAGCTGTAGAACCTTACCTTTCTAGAACAGTACCTGTTGACATGTGTCTGAATATTACCCTACTGCTAATGATGGTTAAAAGGATTACATAGAATTTGTTTATTAGGACTCTTTTATACCTTTCAGCTTCACCCATAGCAAGTGAATTTATACTCCCAGAAAAAGCAGTTTGGATAATAAAAAAATTGATTTCAAAAGGAAGCCCATACCACATTCAGGAACTGCACAACATAGGTAATTTGGGAAAGATAAATTATTTAAATTGTTTCATATGTTAGTGAAACTCACTAATTTCTTTACTGTCATTTAAGATCTTTTGTAGGGAATTATTAGAAATCATGCACAAATAAATCCTTAAAACATATATAAACTGCCATTTTTTCTCATGAAGGAGTATTCTAGTTAATGAAGTACTGCAAAAAGATTCAATATTACTTATTAAGGACAAGTTAACAAAAATGTTTCTTTTATAGGCCATTACCTAGGTTCTTCCCAGACTATGGTAAACAGCTACTCAGCCTTGTGAATGTGAAGCATCATTGGTCTCTAAATGTGTATTTGTGTCATCCATCCAGTGTAATTCACTTAAGTGAAATAACATAAATGGGGTCTCTTTTGCAGTTATTTGGGGAGGAGACAGCCATGTTTTTAATTTACTTTCTTTGTAGAATCAATTGAACTGGAGTTTTCCAGGTGTTCGGAAAAATAAAAATCATTTCTCATTATGTTAAATATAAAATAAATGCAACACTGTTTCATGGTAAATGTGGTTACAGTTAAGTTTTACTTTAAAAAAAAGACTATTTTTAGAGGGGAAGGGAGGGAGAAAGAGAGGGACAGAAACATCAATATCTTGCTTCTTGCACACCCCCAACTGGCGACCTGGCCCACAGTCCAGGCATGTGCCTGTCATGGAATCAAACCAGCAACATTTTGATTCACAGGCCAGCACTCAATGCACTGAGCCATACCAGCAAGGGCAAGTTTTACTCTCTTGAATGTGAACATGACTGAATGCATTTGAAACTTGTCATACACCACCATTGAAAGCAGCTATTCCAAAACCAATGCCTTCTTTCCACAAATCGTTTTTTATTTTTTTTCGTTAGCTACCAGCACTCAAAAATTAAGTAGTTACTATAGTGTGTGTGAGTAGTGATTAAAAGTATAAGATTAGTTCTCTGGGCAGAAATATCTGATAGGAAGAAGATGTGGCAAGGGCAGATTATGCAAAAAGACTTAGACAAGGGGCCTCGGAAGAAAGCAGTTTAATAGCCAGTATTGCGTTCTAGGACATTAACTAGCTTTGGTGTGTCTGTTGAGGGACCAGAGCAGCTTTCTAGGTCGGGTTTTCTACTCAAATACTAACAGGGTCTGCTACATGCTGTGGTTTTCATGTGAAGGGCACAGCTGAGGGAAGCCTCCCACCCCCGCGCCCAAATACTGAGTGTATTCACTAAAGTCCTCCCTCCTCACCTGCTAAAGCCCTTCATTAGCCCCATTTTAAATGAAACAGACTAGAAAGTAGCAATATTGACCTCAGATCTTTCTCAAAAGCTTGAGAACTTTACATATCCTTTATAAGCCTGCTTGTCAAAGAATTTTTAACTTGTGCTATCTTAAAGTTTTCATGGCTTGTCATCAGGATATTGATTTACTATTTTTTTTTCTGCAATAAGACCCAAACTAGGCTGAGTTATAACTATTGGAAAAAACTATTTTCATTACTATAGATGATACGATTGTCCAAGTATAAAACTCAGGATCTTGTCTTAGAATTAACATGAAATTAGCAAATACCTGTAGATATCCAAAAATTGTTTTTCCTTATTTAAGCAAAAAAGTAGTTTTAAGATATAATGTGAATATATTCTCTTTCCTCATGGCAACAAGCTCTGTAAAATGTGTTGGGGCCCAAGGTAGAGCACCCCCAAATATCCCACAATGGCATATTGATTACCTGGAATTAAATTTACTTGACAAGCAGTTGGTGCCAGAATGGCACTTCAATCCTCCCTTGCCACCTTGAATGCAGGAAATAAATCTATGTGAAAGGCTTCCTCTCTGCACCTGGAAGACCCAACCCCACATCCCTTTCTTCCAGGGTTTTAACTCAGAGCTGAATACTCTGTATAAGCAAATGATTATAGATACAAAACAAGCTATTAACCCTGTAATGGGCTCCTTCTTAAAACAGGGTATATTGATTTTACCTTCTCACCCTGTAACAGGCCAGTCTTGCCAGTAAAGAAAGAAAGCAAATTTGGTTCAAATGGGAATTAAATATATTGATTTGTATAGGACATAAGAGCTATAAACACTTGTAATTCCTCGGCACCTTATAGTGCCAAATTTGGCTACTGTTCTCACCTCAATTCCTGCTAATGCAGCCTGGTTTATAGTAGTTGACCTCTGCTCAGCTTTATTTTCAATCCCTTTGCATCCCAGCTCACAATTTCTTCTTGTAGTTACATTTAAAGGGAGACAATTAAGATGGACTTGCATTCCTCAGGTATATTGTGAGTCTCCCTCAATATTTTCCCAAATTCCTAAAGCCAGTTTAGATTCTATAAGCTCTACCTGAAGCTTCACACTGCTGCAATATAGTGATACTCTTTTTTTCTTTACAATCAAACTGAGCAGGGAACTCTAACAGAGTCCCTCTTTTAAAAGCACAAGCTGAAGGAAGCCATAAAGCCTCCAGATGTAAACTTCAATGGGTACAAACAACTGTTACTTAGGACAGGAGATATCAGAGGGCATTAAAAAATTCACCCTGAAATGCCTGGTGTCAATTCTGTCAATAACCAGCATCTCAAAAAAGCATGTATTAGGGTGGCAAAACTCCGCTTCCCCTCCCCTTACAAGAACAGGAGAGGTCTCGAAGCCATGAGAGGGTCTTTTGGACACCTCTTTTGGCAACCCAGACTTGTGTTTATGTTGTGATGGTTTCCTATAAGCAGA